GGGTTGTGGGTGGGGGGGGGGGGTGCAAAGGAACCAATACGACATTGTGTCACCATCTCCCCTGTTCAATAAAACCACTGTCATTTGCAACCATGAGTTGGGTCATGTTTTACTGAATCCCAGTCCCTTCCTTATCTTAAATTCCAGCCTCATTCTCTCTCTCAGCTCCAGCCCCCACCCCTCTCCACTAGTTTCCCGATCTCCTCTCAATTCCTACTGCCTTTTCTCTGTGACTTTCTGCTGCCTTTGCTGGCTTTCCCCGCTGCCCCTGCCACCTTTCAGTCTCTCCTGTTGCTTTTCCTGTGATTTTCTGCTGTCCGTCTCTCTGTTTTCCTGTTTTCAGGCTTCCCCCATACCTTCTGTAGTCATCCCCCTCCCCCCACAGCCTCCCAGCTCCTCATGGCTGCCCTGCAGTTTTCTCCAGCAGCTGGAGCCTTTTCCCAGCTCCCAGCACCTACTGCCACTCCCTACAACTTCTCTAGCTTCCCTGGAGCCATCCTCTGGCTCCCCACATCCAGAGAACACCCACACTTTCCCTTAGTCCCATTTTCCCTCTCCCCACCTACCTTTTCAGCTCCCCCATAGCTCTGGCCCCAGTCCCAGCCTCGGTGCTGGCATCGCTCCCCTGTTCTGTAGGCTTTGGGCATTTTCTTTTAATCAATTAAGATCAATTAGCCTAAAGTTACCCCCGAGGCTCAGTTCTTTAGCCCAGGCCCCTGTAGTCTACCAGTTCTAATCCCAGTCCTGGTAACTTCCACTCCCTACTCTTCTACTTTCTTACCTTAATCTTTCCCCAGGTATCCCAAGTACACCAAGCACATACATAAATACATACATATCACAACACCCAACTTAGGAACTCACTTGTGTGTATGTGTAGGTGAGTGGTATATGTGTAAATATATAATATACACACATATATAGATATTGTTGTGTGTGTGTGGTATATGAATTAATAATCCACGTATGTGTATTGGATGTGCAGGTGTTGGTAACTGGTAACTAATTCTTTCTAAATTTGGTGTGCGTAACATGTATGGGCTATCAGCCCCCTGTTAAGTTTTGATGTTCCACTGATAACCAGGTGTTTAAAAATGTATCTGGTTCCCAGCCATCAGCTAGAGCAATTAAGGACAACCCTGCTGGCAAAAGACAACATCAGAATGGCCAGAACATGCATGTTGGAATCCAAAGTGAATGGCATTCTTCACTGAGCAGATTTATCAGAGCATGAAAAGGTTAAAGTTTATATGACTGTGCTAAAAACATAACTTCTAAGTGTGACAGGCTAACATGGAAAAAGAAAAAAAAAATCTGTTTCTACCAAAACAGATATAGACCCTGCCTGCCAAACAGCCAGAAACACCAAACGCCTCAGACCCCATTGTTTAGGAAGTGCTGGAAGGAATATACATGTGTTATAGGGGAAAAGGCTGCAGTATTGTTAAACTAATTTGGTCTAGAATAAGAAAGTTTCTTCATGGAATTATGATAGTTCTTCTGTATACCAGGTCTCTGTTGTTAAGTTCTAATATGCTTTATTTAATCAGTGGTATTACCAAACTATCAGCAGTGGTGTGTGAAATGGGCTGTATTCAATTCAGTTTCAGCCCAAATTGGGGACAGTGATTTGATTTGTTGATTTGGATCACTGTCCCAATTTGATTCAGTCAACTCTGAATCTGACGTTTCAATGGTGATTTGGAGAATCGGTGATTTGGCCATAGACACAGGTTTAAATGTTTTTCTACATACCTCAAGGTAGGGCAGGTACCAGGCATGGTTCATGAATGTTGCAATGCTGGGACAGATGGACCATCCCACAGGAGCACGGGAGGCCCTCTGCAGGCTCAGAGGTGAACCTGGAAGTGGACTGAAAGTAGTTCTGGTCCACTTCCAAGTCCATCACCAAATGTACTGGGGGGGCCTCCTCACTCTCCCAGCTCAGCAATCAGCCACAGGGGGACCCTAGGTGCCCCCCCCCCGACTGAGGAGGCACCAGTCGCTGAGCTGGGGGGCAGGGAGGGGTCCCCTATGTACTCCATGGTGGACCCAGAAGTGGACTGGAAGTTATTCTGGTCCACTTCTGGGTCCACCTCCAAATGCCTGTGCTCCTGTGGGACGCTCCATCTGGCCTAGCATCTCAGCATTCTCAGCATCTCAGCATACCATGCTGCCTGGTACATTTAAAGCTGTGTCTAGGTCCAAATCATCAAATCTTTCCGAATAGATTCAGAGAGACTAAAGGGTTTCCTGATTTGATTTGGATTTGGAGAGTCAGCCACCGAATCAGGCCACTTCTTTGCACAGTCCTAGTAAGCAGCCTCCTAATGGCTGGGATGTATTTATGAAAGTGCTGGATGAATGAAACTTGCCAACCACTATCATAGTCAATTGCCACAACAGAGACCATTTGGAACAGCTGAAAATGTCAGTTATGGACTTGGGTCTCAGTCAGGAACTGTCTTCCCTTCCTAAAATGAGTAAAGGGGCTAAGCTATCTGAAAGGATTAGTCTATAAGGTCTTACAATGCTTTTTAAGATAATGAAAAGAATCATAATCTTTAACTCTGCCATGTTTATAGTATTTGTTGTTGTTGTCATTTAAAACCACATCTTTCAAAATTAACAACATACATTTTATTGAAGCACAGAGCACTGAAAGTCACTACAAGATATGCAAGTCTGGACCTATTGAAGTTCATTTTAAGCATGTCCAGACATACCTGTTGTTTTATGCCTGTTTTTTACAAACTATGACCATCCAGTCATTTTGTACTAAATTATCAGAATACGTATGTACAATCTGGTCAAAAGATAAGCCCTTGAAGTAATGGTGTAGAAAGAAAATGCAGTGGTAGCCACAGGCCATAGAGAGGGGTCTTGCAGCTGGGTATTTTGATATACTATTTTAGAACTTTTTTGTTTAAAAACTTCATTAGGATTTTACGAAACAGAATTCTATTTTGTGGGTATCTGTAGGAGTTAAACTCTCCATGGTCCTCTCCCATTACATATATGGTGAGCTAGTGGTCATCTGGTTGTGTGCTTGGGTGGATATTGTTCACTAGGCTTACAGGTCTCTGAGACAAGCACTTGTTCAGGAGGCAGTCACTGGAGAACACATTAAAAAAAATTCCTTTTGTGTAAGAATCTGCAGATAAAATCTAAGCCACCTCTAATGTCTTCACTGATTTATCTCTATAACATTATTAAATATGCTGTCCACCACCATGTTGACAGTGATCAGTAAGGTTCTGGTAAAACATATTTCTGCTCTCAGGTTACCTGTTTTAATCAATAAGTAGTAGTCAGTGTATTCCTGGTCCAGTGACAGGTTAAAGACAAATAAGGCATAAGCATGAATGATATTTCCATGATTACCGAATGTTTGCACAAGATTCATATACTCTTTCACACAGTTCCCAGCCTGGATGGGTGCAGAGGCTTGGATGGTATTTGTTCACTGCATGCAGAGCACAAAATTAATATTGTAATGCTTAAAGGTAAAGGGGTTTTTGGTGTACTTTCTGTTGAAAGCATCATTATCTAGAAAGTTAATGATGAGCTGTTTAGGAAGCTGTCCCATGAATAAATTTCTCCTGGTTGGTGATACAGCTGCCTGCCAGGATACTAAACATCTTCATCCCTACATGATCTATGTGGTACTCCGTGTTGGCCATTAGCAGAGCCTCTGTGTGCCCCAACTGTACACCCAGTGACACCTTTACCTTCTTAACAAAAAGTGAGGTTGATACAATCTGCAGTTTAAGTCACTTAGTTAGAACATCACACATTTACCATAAATCCTCTTTACTACAGGTCAATTTAATTTTCATATCAACACCATTCAACAAAAGCTTTTCTTGAAAG